CCCCGCACCCCGACGAAATCCACAAGCAAAGCTCCAAGAAATCAACGAATCCTGAACGTTCTTGCTTCCTCTTCTCCTCTCTCCTCTTCTTTTCTTTTTTCTCCAAACCCTAACTCTTTTGGTAAAAGTGTAAACTGATCTAATTCAGCTTAGACCTCTAATTAATTACCAAAAACGAATTAAATAAGAGGTTAAGGAAAAGACCAAACAACCCTTTAAAAATTCGGATTGGACTTTCCTTATTCCAACAGCCCAACTTCCAAAGGGAATAACTCACTCATACAAACTCGGATTTGCGCAAACTCGGCGGCGTTAGAAAGATCCTTCCAAGAGCTTTGCAATCATAACAGGAAGTACATCTAACTCATCCTGAGCTAGGAATTATTGTCATTTGAAGTTGACCAAAACTCAACTTTTCCTAACTTAAACAAATTTCCAGATTTTAATTCTTTCCAAAAATGACTATTTGCAATTATAAGCTTCTTCCTAGTTATTTCAAATTGCGAGATGTTACACATGTGGTGTGTTCAATTGATTCGACCGTCACACTTATTACAAGTCAAATATATTTTCACAAATGAGCCATGCTAAAATGTTTGAGATTAATAGTACTGATGGTTATCTTTTCCCTTGAACTATCAAATTATTAATCACTAATTAACTTGTTGAGTGAATTCTAAACTATTCAACAGCAAAGCCAAACCAAATTTAACATCAAATATTATCTAATAAATAATCTATTCTTATAACATATATAAGTGAGGGGTCAGAGGTGAATTCAGAACTTGAAGGTAGGTAACATATGTAGCATCCTATTCATAGAGGAAAACTATACTTAATAATTTACGATTAGCAAAACATTTACACAAGATTAATAGTTGATTTATTCAAGGTTTTAGTTAAAAGAGGTCTAGGATTCTATCCTTCTTATCCATATTGTTTAAACAATAAATTTGCTACAAAAGGATGTCTGTGACAAATCATTTCTATTAAATATACAAACTAAAGTCAAAATTGAGCCAACAACATGAAAAGACCAAATCAAAATGCATAACTCTACCATATTACCTACATTTGTATAAATTTTGGTAAGGGTAATTGTCTAAATGAAAGCTATATAAAGGGGTTTGAGTTCAGCTTAAGAGGACAACAACTTCTCTTCTTTGTTTCAAATATGGGGAAAATGGCCTCTCTAGTTGTCACTCTTTTAGTGGTTTTAGTGTCACTTAGCTTAGCTTCCGAAAGCTCAGCTAATTATCAATACTCATCTCCCCCACCACCAAAGGAGCCATGCCACCCTTCACCAACACCTTATCATCCCGCACCAATTTACAAGTCTCCACCACCGCCAACTCCGATTTACAGTTCTCCACCACCACCGAAGAAGAGAAACTACCCTCCACACATTCCAGTGTACAAGTCACCACCACCACCCAAGGAACCATACTACCCTCCACACACCCCAACTTACAAGTCGCCACCTCCACCAACTCTTGTTTACAAGTCTCCACCGCCGCCCATTCCGGTTTACAATTCTCCACCACCACCGACGGAGCCATACTACCCTCCACACACTCTAGTGTACAAGTCACCACCACCTCCGACGCCAATTTACAAGTCACCACCACCACCCAAGGAGCCATACTACCCTCCACACACCCTAACCTACAAGTCACCATCTCCACCAACTCCTGTTTACAAGTCTCCACCGCCACCAACTTCGGTTTACAATTCTCCACCACCACCAAGGGAGACTTACTACCCTCTCCACACTCCATTGTACAAGTCGCCACCACCTCCGACACTAATTTACAAGTCACCACCATCACCAAAGGAGCCATACTACCCTCCACACACCCCAACCTACAAGTCTCCACCTCCACTAACTCTCATTTACAAGTCGCCACCACCACCAAATGAGCCATACTACCCCCCACACACTCCAGTTTACAAGTCGCCACCTCTACCGACTCCAGTTTATAAGTCTCCACATCCACCAACTCCTGTTTACAAGTCGCCACCACCACCTAAGGAGCCATACTACCCTCCACGCACCCCAATCTATCAGTCACCACCTCCACCAACTCCCATTTACAATTCACCACCTCCACCAACTCTAGTCTATAAGTCACCACCACCACCCAAAGAGCCATACTACCCTCCACACACCCCAGTGTACAAGTCGCCACCTCCACCAACTCTTATTTACAAGTCACCACCACCACCAAATGAGCCATACTATCCTCCACACACTCCAGTCTACAAGCCGCCACCTCCACCAACTCCCGTTTACAAGTCACCACCACCACCCAAGGAGCCATACTACCCTCCACATACCCCAACCTACAAGTCAGCACCTCCACCAACTCCAGTCTACAAGTCGCCACCACCACCCAAGGAGCTAGGCTACCCTTCACACACCCCGACCTACAAATCGCCACCACCACCCAAGGAGCCATACTACCCTCCACATACCCCAACCTACAAGTCACTACCTCCACCAAGTCCCGTTTATAACTCTCCACTACCACCAACTCCAGTCTACAAGTCTCCACCACCACCCCATTATCTTTACACCTCTCCCCCTCCTCCCTACCATTACTAAGAAGATATTTCATTATATCTGAGGTAATAAAACCAAACTATAACTTTTAATTATGATATGTCTATAGAAGTTGCACAATTTCCTCGTACAAATCATTAATATAGACCTATGCTGTCTACATCTTATTTGGTTTAGGTTCTATTATATGTTCTCATTCACAATATCATATTCTTATGCAGGAAAGCAGAATGTTGAGCTACAAGAAAATAAGCCCACACAGGAGGCAAAGTACTTTTGTAGCTTCATTTTGTATAAGTTATTGTTTGTACCCTATATTATATTTATATTTTACTTCTATTTATTTGTGTGTGTTTGTTCGATCTCCTTGCAAAATGCGGAGATTATGAGATGTATAAAATAAGTTATTACTATACGGTTTTATGTTTTCCCCTCTCTCTACACTTTCTTTTGGTCCTTTTTCTTATTTTGTCATCCTTATATTGAGTTTTTTATAAGTTGACGAGGCTCTCATCAATTACATTAAATCAGTTGCTATAAAAAATGTGGGTTTTATTCGTCAATAAATTTAATGATAAGATACAATAAAATCTAAGTTACAATCAATCGAGAATATTAGTACCTCCAATCTAAGTAACAATTTATCGGGAATATTAGTAGCTTCAATTAGTTCTTGAATTGACCATCGTGAGGAGAAAAATTACAAAATTACATTTTTTTATATAAAATTTTATGAAGGAAAAAGTAAATGCACCCACACAAATTATTGAATTAATATTATTACTTGTCCTATTTCTCTTATCTTGATTATTAGTTTTCAGGGATGAAAATTTAATTGTTAGACCTTTCACTTTTTAAAAAAAAAAAAGAATGAACAACCAACTGATTTTGGTATCTGATTGTGGTTGTTCAAGGCATATTATAACGATTAAATTTTAGTTTTTGAAAAATAATAATCAAGAAAAGAAAAATATCAATAAATAATAATATTTAGTTTTATTTATTTGTGCAGGATTTAACAATCTTTAGAAAATTTTATACTAAAATGTGTATTTTTTGTTTTTTTTCCTCTCCCTGACTATCAACTCAAAAGTTTTATTTTGTACCTGAATTGATGAAATACTTGTTGGAAGTTTACCACGAATGTAGAATCAAGTTTTGATCACATTCGAGGAGGTATAAAATGACTCACCACTTGGAGGTAAATACTCTTTTGTATGCAGAAGACTGTCAAATCACTATTAAATACTTTTTTATACAAGCATTAGCTAGGGTTTGAAATATTTGGTCTCCTTGCCATTCTAGCCGACTTTGGGCTTGAGAAACATGAGTTGGGCTGGGCTAGACTTGTAAGCTTAACGGACTAACCTAAATTTAATTAAACTTCATTTAAATCATAAAACTTCCAACTTTATTATAAACAAAAAAAAATTTGAACAAAAAAAAAAGGAACAAAATAGTACATAAGATCTCGATCGTTGGACAAACATTTGTCTATAATAAATATGTCGGCGATAACTATTGACTAGGTCAATGTAGCTAGGGTTTGTACTTGTTTATACTATCTCTTGGGACGATTAAAAATATTAGTTTAGCTTAACTAATGGAATCTTATATGGAGTTTAGTAATTTTACTTTTGTCGGTGATTAAGTTATACAAATGATTAATTATTTTTCTAATTAAAAAGTCAAAGTCATTAATGGATGAACCAGGAATCGTCCATGTATTTGAATACTCTCTCCGTCCTCTTTTAGTTGTCATGCAGTCATTGTTTTCTTTTTTAGAATCAAATAATAAGAACTGTGACTAACATTTTAGGGTTTATTTTTTGGGAAAAAGGACAAATATATCCCCGAACTATCGTAAATGGTATGCATATACCTTTCGTTATACTTTTAGTACATCAGTGCCCTTACCGTCCAAATTTTAGAGAGTATATATCATTTATACTAACGATAGTATATGTGTCTTAATCCTATGGACCCGATATTTATTAATTTTTTTGTCAAAATTTAAAAGCCCAATTTTTAAAACCCACCCAAATACGTAATACTCAGCCCAAAAAAAGAACTCAAAATCCCCAAATCAATTCACTCCCCAAACCTATTTTCTTCTCCTTCTTCTCTGATGTTTGTCGGTCCAGCAAAGAATCAAATTAACTTGATGTATTTTGTATTTGGTATCTTATTTAAAACTCTTAAAAATAAGTTCTATCTTGGATATGTTAAGTAGGAGCCTATTTGAATACAACTTATGTCTTTATGGAATTATAATCTCATAATAGATGAAAAATCATGATAGCACCCCAAAATCAAAGCTCGTTTGCGCCTCAGTCGTGACTGGTAAGCTTGATTTAGAGTTTTGAGGAAAAGAGAAGCTCAATTGTCAAGTGAGAACCTGATTTTTTTATTTCAAAAACAATATACAGTTCTCATGGAGGAAATATGGATGAAGTAATTTACTTGTCTATGATATTTCTTCTTTCCAAGTAAAAGTATTGTTTTGCTATTTTCTACTGAAAGATTTCTATTTCAGATGAATTAATTCTCTGTTACGCTAAAGATTGGAGAAGATCGAAGAAGATGGAGAAGAAACTAGGGTTTTGGGAGTGAATTGATTTGGGGGTTTTGGTTTTTGGTTTTGGGTGGGGTTTTTTTAATTAATTCGGGTGGGTTTTTAAATTTTTGGTAGAAATTTAATAAATTCCGAATCAATGGATAGGATTAAGACACGTGTGTCACTGTTAGTATAAAGGGTATATTCGCTCTAAAATTTGGACGTTAAGGACACTAATGTACCAAAATATCAAATTAATATAATTTAATTTAATTTTAAAAAATTAATTAAATTAACTTTTGAAAAGCGCAACATAACAACTGAAACGGAATGGAAGAAGTAGTATGTATCTTCTTCTCTTCTTCTTTTATTATAAACATTTAACTAATGGAAAAAGAGGCACGTATTTAGGTTGTTAGGTAGAGAAAAGATTAAAAAATAAATATAAAAGAGGAAGTAAATGAGTATAATAATTTGAGAAAATGAAAGAAGGCAATGTAAAAAATAGGTGCAAATCAACAATGTTAATTATTTATTCAAAGTTTAAAAACACAAAAGTGAAAACTTTTGTAAAAAGCCTTGAACCAATTCGATTCATTTAATTCTATTTCTTAAGATACTCCGTATTTTCAAATTTTAAAGAGGACTACAAAAATAACTATGTATTCCGACATTTAAAACTAACATAAGTGTTATTAGAATGAGCCTATCTAACACGTATTTGAATTAATCATGCTCAAATACTGATACTAAACAATGGATAAACTATGCAATGGAGTCTTAAACTATAATTATATATTAAGTAATTAAATCAAATCATGTAATTTAATTAATTATACTACCAAAATATTAACTTCAATGACACGAAGTAACATAATGTACCTTTAAAGTTTCACAAAATTCAATTAGGTTTTGAGTACATTGAAGTACCTAAGTCAAAACCTTTCCAAAAACTCTCAATAAAGTCTAAAATAAAGTACTCCCTCCGTCCTTAATTACTTGTCCACTTTTTCTTTTATAGTTATTCCTAATTACTTGTCCATTTTGACAAATTAAGATTGGACAAAAAATTTTTACCTATTATACCCTCAATTAAATGATTAATTACTTTGAAAAATGTAGAATTTTTCATCCACTTCATAATTGATAGGGGTAAAATGGTAAACTCACTATGTCATTAATTGTTTTCTTAATAAGTTTGCCAATTCAAAAGTGGACAAATAATTAGGGACGAGTAATTTTTTATTTCTATCATGACCTGTATTCTACCTCTTTGTGTTCCGATGATGATTAACTAAGATACAAAAAAATTCATAGATATTGTATTTAATCATATAAATTTTTCAATATTGAGCTACATAATCCGTTGAATTTTTTGCCCTCTATTCCCACCTAAAACTAAAAAGAAAGAACAACATTAATTGCTTTATTTGGTAATGAAAGTGGGTCACATTTTTCTCTAGATCATTAAACTATTTAACATTACAATAATCTATCATTTGTCTTCATATGATATATATGTATTATTGTACTCCCACCGTTTCAAAAAGAGTGATCTGGTTTGACTTGACATTGAGTTTTAGAAAATAAAGAAGACTTTTAAATCTTGTGGTCCTAAATTAAAGTTATGTCAAATGTATTAAATTGTCCTTCAATCTTGTGGCTTTAAACATGTCACGTGAAAAGCTGAAATTAAAATGTTACCAAAAAAAGAAATAGGTCATTCTTTTTTACATAGACTAAAATGGAAAGGAGGTCATTTTTTTTAAAATAGAGGGAGTATTAAATTTCTCTAAATTTCTAAACTATTTAAGCACTTAGGTAATTAAAGGTTAGTTCATCAATCAGAATCCACAAAATAATTACTCCTTTCGTTTCATATTAGTTGATCATCTTACTAAAAATAGCTTTCACACATTAGTTGTCCACCTTACTAAATCAAGAAAGCAATAATTATTTTTTTTCCTATATTATCCTTGCAATTAATTCCTTTTGAAAGTGTTCACATTTATTTGTAAAATTTCCAAGAAGTTTTCTAGAGGTAAATTAATAAAATTATCTAGTTAATAAAAATGATCGACTAATATAGGACGGGGAGTAATAAAATTCTTCAAATATTTAGTGTAACAAAAAAAAAGAAAAAAAAAAGCAGTGTACACTGATTTTTGTAGCTAAAAATCGTGCGAAGTTGAGGGATGCACGCATTTTTTTCAAAGATTGTGTATGCATGTAATGTAAAAGCTCGGAAGAAAAAGAAGACTTTGTAGCTCTTTGAATTATTGCATCACAAGATGTAAAGAAAATAGTATGGTTGTCTTAATTGTTTATACATTTTTTCTTAGCTTGCAGTCTCTATCCAATAAAATAAAGTCAAATTGATCCAACAACATGACAAAACCAATTATCAAAATGCATAAAAACTACTTAACATTTTACCTTACATTTATGTAATCTTGGTAAGGGTAATTGTCGAAATGAAAGCTATATAAAGGGGTTTGAGTGAAGCTTAAGAGCACAACAACTTCTCTTCTTTGTTTCAAATATGGGGAAAATGGCCTCTCTAGTTGCTACTCTTTTTAGTGGTTTTAGTGTCACTTAGCTTAGCTTCCGAAAGCTCAGCAAACTATCAATACTCATCTCCCCCACCACCAAAGAAGCCATACCACCCTTCACCAACACCTTATCATCCCGCACCAGTTTACAAATCACCACCACCACCAACTCCAGTTTACAAGTCACCACCACCACCCAAGGAGCCATACTATCCTCCACACACACCAGTTTACAAGTCTCCACCTCTCCCAACTCCGGTTTACAAGTCACCACCACCACCGGTGAAGCCATACCATCCTGCACCAGTTTATAAGTCACCACCACCTCCAACACATGTTTACAAGTCACCACCACCACCAGTGAAGACATACCATCCTGCACCAGTATACAAGTCTCCACCACCC